CCCTTCTATGACAATGGACTCGCCCCACCTGTCACCCCTTCTATGACAATGGACTCGCCCCACCTGTCACCCCTTCTATGACAATGGACTCGCCCCACCTGTCACCCCTCTTATGAAATGGACTCCCCCCACCTGTCACCCCTCTTATGGAATGGACTTCCCAACTTGTCTTTCAAATGACTGTGGTGTACTATTCAACCTTACTTGCTTCTGACAAGTTTTGCCCGCTAAACCTTTCACTACTCCTGTGTTAGCGGACCTTGTTAGGAATTTATTAGAATGAATTATCTAAAATGAAGTTAAAACAATTCATTAATTCATGACAAACGCCAATCAACTATCAGGATTACTTGAAAACACTTTCTTAATAATTTTGATAAATGTTATTACATAATTGAAGTCTATTTTAAAGGTTTTTTTAGGCTTTTCATCATGTCGGTAATTTCGGGTAGGTAACGACTGCCACATTTCAGAAGGAAAAACTAACATCAGCTACATTTATTTTTAACAGGTTTTGTCAATTTTAAGGTCTGGATTTTGGGAAAGATAAATAGTTTTGTTGGATATATAGACATACAAAATATGACTTTGGAGCAATTTCAAACGCGGATAGTACAATGTATATCTTAAGGTACCCTGTATAAGTACATGTAAGGCAGTGAAGGAAGTAAATGCGCTATTGATATGTAACACAAAGGCAGAGTTGTGTGACATTGACCTTAACGACGTTAATTGAACGTCGTCACGAAACAATGTCAACCTTTCTGTGGCCTTGTCAAGACGACGTTCAAAGAAGCAGGCAAATGTTAAAAATTCAAGCTCTTTGCAGTAATTTGGTATTTCCCCGTGCGGAGAACAGTGAATGAGAGAGCATTAGCTGCCAGCTGTAGTCCGAAATTTAGTCTAAACTTTTAGCACAAAACTTTGGTCTGTTTCGATACAAGAATTGGATGAAAACCACAGGAGCTCAGACATCACATAGTAGTCTGAAACATAAGCAAATGATGCCTAGCCTGTTAGAAAACGGACTAACATTTCATTTAACTGGATTACTGATTGATCACGAGCCAAAGTAGACTAAAATTTGGTCTAAAAATTTTAACCGATTTCCAGGCCTTCATTAATTCTTTTTGTTTAGGCCCGACTTAACTTCAGTCAACGAAAGCCTTGCAAGATTGAAATCTCCTTCATGCATCTTGCGTTAGCATGACATTGTACTATATGATGGTATCTTGATCATATTAAGGGTGTATTTAATGCACAGGGAGGCATTTAAGGGGAAATGTATATCAGCAAATGACTTTACACCTTGAGTTTCAGATGCACTACCCTGTACCAGTAGCGGATTTTGGGGGGAGTCAGGGGGGTCCTTACCCCCTTCGGTTTCTGAAAAAAAATTACACACCAATATTCCCCTCTTGAAATAACAATTTTGAATATAGCTGAATCATAGTTCTAAACCGTACCAAATGTCACCGTTTGCCCCCCCCCCCCAAAAAAAAAATAATAAAATAAAATAAAATTGGTGGCCCTTGGGGTGGGGGGGGGGGGCGAACCCCACGTCAAGGGGGAAGGTCGGCTTCGCATCCCAGGCCTGTCATTCCTAAAAAACGGACCCCTTCAAATAATCTTGTAACAGTATAAAGTATCCAGTAGTCTATCAATTAACAATGAGGCATGCGAGTTCTCTGTAGAAACGGGGAATTCGAAGGTGCTTAATATCTTGACATTTAAAATAATTAATTTTTTTAGGTGGGAGTGTAAACTGCAAGTTTATTCTAAAGAAGTTGAAGGCTGTCGGTGCACCCCATAAGAGCTTGAAAAAAGGGAAAAAACAATATAAAAATGTACATGTTTTTTTCTTTGCGTGGCATGCATACAACACACATTTTCAATATTAGGCTGAGATCGTCGCCCCCCCCCCCCCTCTCGAGTCTACACAAATTGCTTTCAGTTTTTAAGAATTTAATATAGGACCTATTTGGTTTAAAGATACATTTTAGATCCTGAATTAAATGTCCCCTTGCTACTAGAACCGGTTCTTATGTAAACTACAGCTAAAAGTTTACATTTTAATTGGTATAATAATCCCGCGGCAATAAATTGATCAAATATTTCACCGATACGCTAGCAGCTACACAAAAGACGCCATAAATGTCAGCATTTATAAAACATTGATAAGATTTATGCAGACTAGCAAGTTTATCATATATCCTGATAGCCCGGGCTTGATGATTTTTTTTTTCCTTCGGATTTCTCCTAAGTACTTTTGGACGTCTCCAAAAGGTGACATATTGCCTTGTTCTATTTTGTCATGAGTCACTATCGGGGGAGTGCAGAAAGAAAAAAAAAAAGAAAGTGAATTAATTACGGTCTTTATGTGATGAATACGATATTACTATGTTTAACTACAACGGTGTATTAAAAAATATTACAATCTATTTTACTTAGGCTCTTGTATTGATCTATTTTGGCTACGAGATCAAGAAATGCCGCTTATTTAGTGTCAAACATAATTTACTATACCGTCCGGCTCTCCCCAAAACTCGCGGACCTACGTCAATTTCACTACCACCTGTTTTGGAAAGGAAAGAGTCATTTTAACTCGTCTTACCTGGAAGTTAGGGACATGGACCCATGATTTACAGCTTATACATGACTTTATCGGACCTGTAACTGTGAATGTACCGTATTTTCAGTTTAGGTGAGTAAAATGTAGCTTGTACGGCAGGGGCAATTCAACCGCTATCTTGTATCGCATAAAATCTGCGTTCACGGTTCGCGGCACGTCGATGTAAACGTGGTGAAATACAAGTTCACTACAGAAACCCCAAACATGACTCGCCCCTTGTTGTAAGTAGCCTAACATGGAGCGCTTCGTGACACCCTAAGTTGGCAAATTGAGGCATATTATTAAGCCTTTCTGACTATATATAGTCTGTGTCCCTGTTTGTCATGTAAACTACTGTACTGGGGATATTCCTTACTTTGCATGACTTTTGATGTTGTTATATTGTTCGCCGGTTGGCCTACTAGTGTCAGGTAAGAACATAACATTATTGTAGGAAGAGAAATCATTCCGTTCATGTGACGGTGAGAGTACTGTATGCCCGGAATAACCACCCTGAGTTTCAGAGGGATATGGTGATGACATGGCTGTAATCGTGCAAACTCCCATTCACCCTGGGTTTAAGGGCAGAGACAGGTAGGGTACATTGTACTTCCCTTCACCCAGAAAACTTTATCTGTTGCCTTGAGTTTCAGGGTACTGATGCTGACCTCCGTTCAAAGATTTTTTGCATTAGTTTCATGAGGACAGTGAGAGTACAGTATGTCCCAGAAGAAACACCCTGAGTTTGAGAGTGATGGTCATGGTGTTTATATGCACTCCCCATCACCCCGAGTTTGAAGACACAGAGTTACCTCATACACTGATGGTGGCTTCCATTCATTTTTTTACTTTAAGTTAATCGTCATCATGAGAGTGGAAAGTCACAGTGTGGTACCCAGGGTGGAAAAAAATATCTTCAGAAGTGAAGAACTTGCATACTTAATTGTTTCTTTGATAACGGCTGCCCCCTGTCCACCCCCTACCCCAAAAAAGTAAAAATTATAATTAACAAAAACTACTGAGATAAATATTTAGATTGATTGTAAATAGTATCTTTTCTGTCATATCATATAGTCATGCAGCAAATCAAAGTAGCTTTATACAAAGTCAAATTTATATATCAGTGATAAAGTACATATATCACCAGCATGTTTTAGGACCTGGCGTATTAGCTGTGTATCACCCTGAGTTTTACGGATATGACAGTGACACTCTTTTCTCCAATACCTTCCTAAATCATTTCATTGAAACAATGAAACTCAGGGTGTAAAGTATGTGCAATATATTGTGTGAAAAGTATATGGATATACCAGGTATTATATTCGATTAAGCGGGGTTTGGTTACCTGCAGTTTCCCTCAACATGACCCAAATATTATTGTTGTTGTTTATTTTATTCTTTTGAACTCAGAGGTTAATATTTAACATGCGGTATGACTGCCAGCAATGTACTGTGCACAGCCCCAAAATACAAAATTTTTACCCCAAAGCAACAAAATCATGAATATATAAGTGTTTCTGCTGCAGGATTCACACTTACAGTTTTGCTGGTGGCTCAAAATAATTAGTACTGGAGGGAATTTTCATTTTGTGTGGAGCCTTTTTTGCCTGTATGGTATGTTATGTGCAGCTCTATATGCTGCTGCATGACTTCATAATATCACTTCCATGTGAGTCTCAGATGTGATCCAGTTAACAAAGTAGAGACACTTAACGTTATCAAGCAAAGTGAATTGTTGATCTTTTCGATAAGTGTGTGTGTGTGTGAGTATGTGTGTGTGTGTGTGTGAGAGAGAGAGAGAGAGAGAAGAGAGAGACATTGCTTTCAGAGAATGTCAGCCAGTTGTAAGGATAGGATGTAATTATATTTCTGCATGCAAACTATATTAATGTGCATAAATGATACTGTATTCATATTTATATTTATTCTGTATATAATGCAAATCATCTGAGATAGCCAAAAGTTGCGTATCTTTGCATAAAATCAAGCGATTTTGCAGGATGAATGTGTGCATGGTGAGAAATAATGGCCGACTAGCAAGTGACAGAAAACTGACTGATTTTAGCCAGTTTTTCTTTTTGTTTCTTTTTGTTTTCTTTTTGTTTTCACTTAAGTTCTGTCAAATTATAGTTTTTTTCTACAGCATTTTTATTTATTTATTTAATTTTTTTTTGGGGGGGATGCTTTTGTAATTGCTTTCTGTGGAATATTGTCAGTGTATAGTTTTAGCCTGATTGCTACAGTGTACCTCATGCAAATTATCACATTTTCTATTCTTGTTCAACATTAGGCAGTGTCAATGTCCTTGTTTTAGGCTATCTGGGGCGATTCCCATTTCACTTCACCAGACGCAGCCTCGTTAAATTTGATCACGTTCAACACGAAATCTGATAAAACAGTGCAGAAAAAAATCCCTTGTTCAAATTTGTTTTATTCAATGAATTGCCCAGGATCATGAAAGCCAGCTTTAAAAAGATTCATTTATTTTTATTACTTATTTCTTCATTTTTGCAAATTTACTTTCATTTTGAAATCTGAACTGAATAAAAACTTGAACAAAAAACACCACAATTTTCAATATTTATTCATTCATTTCATTTCATTTCTGTGTTTTTATTCACTCCACAAACCACCCCTGCAAATTTCCATTGTAGAGTTTATATACTTAAAGAGAAAACTAGGTAATTTTACTATTTTTACTGTTGGGCAAAGATTGTAGTAAATAAGGATAGAAAATTGCTTGGTTTGTCTTGCTTGTTGTATTGTTCAGCCCACTCTCCCCCCCCCCCCCCCACACACACACACACACACATGCACACATACACACTTGATCTGCCATTGGTGCTCGATAAACTTATTTTTGTTCAGTAAACTTATTTATGTATTTGATATATATACTGAAAGGTTGATATAACCTGATAAAGAAACAATTGGTCCTTGAGTTATCAGCTAGACCAGGAAGTTGCCACTCAGGTGAACGTGCACTGTGTCAGATTTATTTGTTTAATGAATCGATGAAGCATTTCATATAAAAATCCATGTCATGTAAATATACCGTAATGAATCAAAATAATTATTCTGAACTGATAACAAAAACTGTTTGTTATTTTAACCTCTTTATGTTGATGAATTATTTATAGTGCCCTGACTTGCTGCTTATGAATGTTTTTTTTTCTTCTTTTCTTTTATCGCCTAAGAATAACCTTAAGAGAGTGCTGTTGGTGTAGTACGTGCTGCTTATTTAATCAGACTGTTACACTAGTGAAGTATTTATCATAAAAAAGCAATATACTGGGTATATTTAGTGGCAGTACAACTGCTGTAAAAGCTCTTAAGATAATTTTGTTTTTTCCAGATTCAACAATATATTGAGCTGCTGGCAATAACTGAGCACTTGAGTGAGTTAACACAGGGATTGCCCCTGTTCAGGTAAGCAAATATGGCATGATAGTACTTGTATACAAAGAGAGAGAGAGGGAGAGAGAGAGGTCTCATTTACAACAGATGATACTCGTATCTACTCTTTGAGAATCAAATATGGCGGACCCTGCATGAAAGCAAGACCCCCTAGTCCCTTAATGGTCTTCCCGCCTCCACATGCACCTTCCCTGCAGGGGCCGAGCAATTAAACCTCGAAGGTGAAATTTAATCTGTGTTGAGGTGGGGAGACCATTAAAGGATTAGGTCATCTTGCTTTCATGGATTTGCCATATTTGATCCGTGGACCAGTATATCCAAGGATCCCCTGTTTTGAATACAACCAGAGGGAATGAAATGGAAAGATTTTGACCAATTTATTCTTTATTCTAGTTGACCACTACACATTTATCATGGATTAAAGTGGATCATAATTATTGGTCATAAACTTATGGCCAATTTTCTGTCCCAGATTCAATTGTGAAAGCATCCCCAGACCATAAACTTTTTGATTAAAGAACCTACATATCTAACCCATGGAACCTTCTGCTTAATGGACTGTGAGATATGATGAGGCCCTTAAATTTACAAATAATAGACTTGAACTTTAGTTGACACTTAATCTTAATGGATGCAGTCATTAATTCACATCTTGTACAGTCTGTCTGTTTAGACTCGTTTGTGCCATTGTCCACTCAACGTCCATTCGTTCATTCATTAGTCCAATTGTTTTGGCCATTCATTTAGTATAGGCAATAATTAAGCTTACTTATCATTAGTCAGTTATTCATAGGGCCAGTACTTCTTGACAATAGACGTTTTCTGTCTTTCTGATATGATATTTTGATATGCAAGCTGGTGCTTGCTAAATTCTAAGATAAAGATCTGTTTTTCATTATTTTGTGACTGTAAAAGACAAGACTTACTACATATATGTAACCAGGGAGGTGTATGAACTTGAAGCAAATTTTACTTTTGACCCTTTGAATCTGAGACTTCAAGGGATAACAACTCTTCATATGAGATCTATATTTCACAATAAATGCATTGTAAACAAATCATAGAAATATAATAAATCCTATTTGACCACCAAAATGGCAGGTATCGCAATTATTGATATTCAAAATTCTTTGGCATGTTGCTTGGTATTGGACCATGTGTAACCTCCATAGATGGCTACTCTCTGTAATAATCTCTTAAGAGATTATTAAAAAAAACTTTTTAGAAAAATAACTAGGGACTAACTTTGGATGTTGGAATGGATTCATTTACCATCAGTAACTTTGGGGAAGATGTCCTTTAAATTACCCCTGGAAAATCCATTTTTTGGCCAAAATGAACAGTTGATATCCCTTAAATTGGTGGTACTGAAAAAAAAACATCACTGATAAAACCTTAAAGCTTCTTCTTTGTTCCTAAATTTAATTTCATTAATTTTTTTTAATACCATAAATCTCTGCAAACATCATTGCATGCAGTGAGTAGGTTGCCTGTGTGTAACTTGATAATGGTTTCTAGCATGAGACATCATCATGACTAACAACTCTTCCATTTTTAAGTCTAAGTGTGGCAAAGGAGAAAGGGAGGGGGTAATTCTTTCATTAAAGGGTAGCTTAAATGTAGTGGCATCTAGTGTGAATGAAAATGAGAAAATGGCTGTGATTGGGAAATAGTGTTGCAGTATAATTTTGAAGTAATACCAAAGTTATCTGTTATAGTTTAGGCTTCGTTCACATGGAAAGTCTATTTTCTGTAAATCTATTTTCTATTCGCGGTATCTTATGATCACACTATCTGCCCTGAATATCCCGCAGCGTAATTACTGGCAGCGCGAGCCAGTTATTTCCAAAGCTGTAATTAATTCTCCGCTGTGCTCGGAGTGATAATAAGATACCGCGAATAGAAAATAGATTTTTAGAAAATAGACTTATCATGTGATCGGAGTCTAAGACTAAGAGTTTAGATATGATATACAGATTTAAAAGACTGAAACTTGCTGACTGTGCATTAGTTAGAATTCAAAACACTGATTTTAAGGATGTAAACTTTCTTGTCTTGTAAGGTACATGTAGTCAAGCAATCTAGCAAGACTTTCAAGCAAGAATAGAAAGTTTCAAGCAAGAATAGAAAAAAAGCCCGAAAAGTTTTGAAATTTCTATGATCATTCAGTGTCTACTATGTGTTGATCATTGTAAAAAATCCTGTCCAGGTTAGAATATTTTTAGATAAATTGAACGTGTAGCTTATAAAGTTTACATACATATATAATATATTAAGGAAAATGCCAGGTTAGCCTGCAGATATCAACATACAAAGTGCCTGGGGGAAATGTACTTAACATGTGGAATTTTCATTGCTTGGGGACTATGGCTTGGATATAGTTTTGTGTCAGTAAACCCAATGAAATATTATGAAGATTTGTTCTATAGCAAAGCAGTTTTTTTATAAAGAGGATGGAGGGTGTGGCCCACTGTTTCCTTTAGCATGAACTCGGTCCTTTTATTTTTATGATTTTATTTCTTGTTGTTAGCCATTAATGGTAATAACATTAGATGGGGCCACTGCTCAAAATATTTTATAAAATTTTTCTATTTTTTGGTTTATATACACCTGTATGCAGATTGGTAGTTGTTATTTAAGTCCTTTTATGTTTGAGGTTGGAGGCTTTTTTCTTTCTTTTTAAAGTATCATTGCCTGGATGTCCAATTACAAACTTGGAATATACATAAATACATTTAAAGAAAAAAATCTAGCTGAATGACCCCTTAAGTTAACTGAAGTCAGACATTGTCTCATCCAGACAGGCCATCCATCTTGAGAACTGTCTAGACCTTCTTAAGACAGTATGTAATACTTGTAGTTATGTATTAAATGTGAATATGAAGTGGCTATCACTGAAGCTCGTGTTGTGCTACAGCACTGTGCTGGATTGTTGTATAGTTCATTTGGTGCAGATTGTCTGCCTCATTTATTTATTTATTTATTTATTTATTTATTTATTTATTTATTTATTTATTTATTAGCCTGAATTACATGATTAATTAAAATACTGAGTTATTTAAACAAAGTTATTGCTGATTGTTTTGCAAAATGATATTTTGTTGATGATGCTACCATAAAAATAGGGAATTGCAAGTTATGAAAGGTGAATAATAGCTTAATTTATGTCTGAAAATTTGCTTAGTAATTAAATTGATAAAATTTGAATGAAAGCTAATATATATATATATATATATATATATATATATATATATATATATTAATCAAAATAAAGTGTGACTGTATCAGAGGAAAAAAAGGGGCCACCCCTGGTAAGACTGCGTTCACACCAACCCTAACATTAACCCTACATCGACACAAGACTTTGAAGTGGCTGTTCCATTGAAGTTGTACCAAAATACCATGATTTGTGGACGCGTGAATACAACCGCCTTCAAGAGACAACCCTGGATGTGAAATTGGATTTTACTGATTAAAAAAATGCATTACCCATGAGTCAGGCTGTTTAATGTTTATAATTTGAACCCCTGACTTGAAGGTTCCCCATTATTCCTCCCAGATTTGAAAATTATAGGTATTAACACAGAAAATTTTCTAATGTTATTTTTTCAGATAGATATGTTTAAAACAGGTTATTTAGTGCTGTATAAACTGCGCAGGCTCATGTTGAGTAATGCAAAAAAAAAAAAAAAAAATTATGCAAGATGAACCAGTTTTCTATTTTGATATTTAAAAAAGTAATAAAAGACAAGTTTTGAAAATGTGAAGAAACACCAGTAGACTTGTGAAGTAATCATGTACATGTCAGCAACTCCAGCGGCACACCATTAATCGCTATTAGCACTTATAGTNGTATTAGAATATTCAGACATGTCCCTATATAACAAATTGCTTAGAATCCTGTTCTGTACAATTGAGCCAATTTCCATGCTTGTAGTTTTAAGTGCATGATGAATTCACCATACTGCTGCTGTGAATGGCCTGTTTTTCTTATTTTTGGAGGCCATTTTGGATTTCTATACACTTAAAGAATCAAATATTGATACTTCATGCATACCATAGTCTTGTCTCTAACCATAAAATGTTATCTTAAGTTATTATAGGATTAAATATACTTGAAGTTTTAATTTGAACGGGTATTTGTGTCGGCTATATTGGATTTGGGGACCATATATTGAAATTTTCAGACATGCTCATACATCCAAAAGTGCTTGGAATCCTGTTTTACAACTGTACCAAATGCCATGCTTGTAGTTTTTGATGAATTAACCACTCCGCTGGATATCTTGGATTAGTAGAGTGCTTTTTACTATTGGCGGCCATTTTGGATTTAATACACCTAAAAAAGCAAATATTGATTCTGAATTCATAAGGTGGTGTTTTTTAACCTTTGTATGATATTTACGCCCTTAAAAGACTATATACTTGAAGTTTTAATTAGAAGCCGTATTTTTGGAGGCCATCTTGGATTTGAAGGCCATTTTTAAATTTTCGGATATGCCCATACATCCAAACTTGCTCAGAATTTCATTTTCCACAAACCTGCCAAATTTTATGCTTGTAGTTTTAAGTGCTTGATGAATTCCCCATTCAAATGTATATCTTGAATAAATGGTCTGCTTTTTTACTTTTGGCGGCCATTTTGGATTAAATACACCTGAAGGATTCATACCATGGTGTTTTCTAACCTTTATATGATATTTTAAGTCATTAGAAGACTATGTACTTGAAGTTTTAATTTGAAAAGGTATTTTGGTGGCCATATTGGATTTGACGGCCATTTTGGAATTTTCAGACATGCCCATATATCCAAATTTGCTTAGAATTTTATTGTCAATAAGTGTGCCAAATTTCATGCTTGTAGGTAAAAAATGCACAATTTTTCACCAATTTCCTGGACTATTAATTGCACTCTCTTGTGCACGCCAATTAATGGAGCTGTCACCTGGATCTTAGGGTAATTTATCGTGAAATTGATCAATTCTATTTCCTGATGAATTTTTTTTGCTATG